TATTATTAACGATTCTCGTGATTTTTATTGAAAAATGCATAACAAAGAATATAGGTGATATTTAACTTAGAAACAGATTACCAAATCAATAAATAGATAATGTTACATTACTAAACAAATGAATGTAATTAATAAGAATGTATACTGAAGTGATTAAAATGAATCAGGACTAAAAGTAAATATCATTATGTTATCAAAATCTCTTTGAATTAAAAATGAATTTTTAGCCATCAAGCACCTAATTCCACTTCAGAATCGATAGATGTAAAAAGAGATAAGCTCTTTGTTATTAAATAGGATGAATAATGACTTCAGTAAACAGTAACATCGCCATATCAGGCTGATCTTGATCTGATAATTTATTGATAAAACGACAACTCACTTCCTTAATACGTACAACTATCATTTCACGCAAAATAAAAAATTACTGGACTTCGCAATTGTAAATTTTAATTAAATTAACGATTATTAATTCCATATACTACTTATAGTACTCTTAGTTCTATTTGGTACTCGATATACTTTGTATACAGACCAAAAGATAAGAATTCGTTTCAAACGTCTTGGTATCAAGTAAAAGTTTTACGCCTGAATTGCATGATAAGTAAACGTAGAATTATTATGAAAGAATAAAACAAATGATACGATACTTTTATCCTAGAATAACGCGACGATTGCGAACAGTAGATAAATCTTCATTTTACAGTCAAACATTTTTAAGCAGCAACAGATAAGATAAATTAATCAAGATCAATCAATAAGATGAATCTTTTTCATTTATATGAATAATCTATCGATCTTAATTGCTAATACAATTACTCCTCGCTTACCATACCCAAAATTCACGGAAAAAACCGAAACTTACTTCCTAAACCCATTTGATATGACGATGAACCCTTGAACAAATGTGTCGACATCGTTTCATAGAATTAATTGCGAATCCAAATACAGATATTCATAATATTTATTTTTGAACAATTCATTTATGGATCGGTCAAGTGATAACTTTGAAATCGATTAACCCATTAAAAAATCCACATTGAAAATTACAATTACATAATTAAATTACAATCGAAATTAAAATTTGTGTAAAATGCATATTAATTTTAGGATAATTTATTAAAATTAAAAAGGAAATAAAGCAGTCGAAAGCGTAATCTTTATACATGATCTGAGATTATCAATCAACGTATGAAATGTTATAGAAAAATAATTAATCAATTTGGATCAATCACGAAATCAACGTGATGGTCTATCTAATCTTGAGACTGGGGAAACAAACTTCTCCAGTTTTGGAAGACCATACTAGGGATATATAAAATAGCCATCAGCGAGATTTCAGCACACTCTGCTTCGGCGAACTATTAACACGGAATCATGATCCTAATAACTCTGTCTCTTTTCACACTCTTATCCCTCTCCAACGGTAAGTGATTACAATTACTATTCAGTTTGACTGATTCCATTTTGATTCGACTAAAAAGTTTTGAAAAGTTAAATACGCAATACTCAATAAATATTCACGACTGATATCATCTAATCGTGAGTTTAATCTGTTAAATATTATAAAATTTAATATATAACAAAAAAGTAGTGAATAAAATTTTCCCAAATAAACATTTACGCTTTAGAGTAATTATAAGAGTTAATATGATTATAAACAATTTTCTTCTTCGTGTAAAGAAAAGAACTGCCGGACTGTCAGCGATTGCCAACTGCAATCAGTGCGATTAAATAAAATTAACAAGCAGTGCAAACGGTGTCAACTTACACTAATGAACGACGGCTCATAAGCAATTATTACTACGCTACTAAACATTCTGTTCTGTTACTATTTACGCAGCTGGGTTGCTGAGATTTGATCCTAGGATCGTGAACGGAGAGGATGCTAAAGAAGGAGAATTCCCCTACCAGGTTAGTTAAACAATATGTACCGCTCTTTGCGAAAGAGAAAAAATGGATCTTCTTGAAAAAGAGGAATAAAAATTCATTATCTTGATGAACATTATGCCCGCGGGAATTATGAATCTTGAACGGACATAAGCGTTCAAATTAAATAATAATAACAAAATTTAATGGAATTCAACATTGAATAAATAACCAACTACCTAACGCTAACCGGGTTAAGAACATTATGCTTCATATCTAGACCCATTACTTATTGAAATTCCTGAAATTACTACAACATATCCGTATGTTGCTAGGTGTCCCTTCAAAATAAGGACAGTTCGTTCCATTTCTGTGGTGGATCCGTTCTTAATGAAAACTATGTTATCACCGCCGCACATTGTGTAGAGGGGTAAGGATTTTAAGAATTTACATAAAACTCGTTAGTGTGAACGTTCATAAAACGGGAATAATAACGAAGAAACTGATATTTCTTAAAGCAAAACGGCGGCAAGTATCAAAGTAATTGCTGGTACGATAAATTTGGCTGCACAAAAGTCTGAATACAATGTTAAGAAAATCATTATTCACGAAAAGTATGACGAAGCTGATTCGTGGAAGAACGACATTGCTCTGCTCAAGGTATTTAGAATAAAAATATTTCTACACTTATACACATATAACTGACCCTCTGAAATTTTTATCTAAATAAATATTTCCATAGGTCGACAAATCATTTGTGAAATCCCAACAAGTTGCCTTTGTTCCACTTCCACCAAAGAACCAAGTTGTTAAAGCCAATGATAAGGCAGTAGTCTCTGGATGGGGCAGACTTTGGGTAACTATCATAGTTATTTATTATACTAAATTTGTAAAAGTAGTAAAAGGTGCCGTAGTATTCAAGTAATAAACAATATGAATGGCAAAATGAAATTTATATTGAAAGTTTTCTCAACTGGTCGAAAAAATGTACGTACGAAAATATTTGCTAGCAAATTAAAATTTGTATTCAAACTGAACGACACCTTTCTAAAATCTGACAATGACAGCAAGGTGGTCCCACAACCGTTCACCTACAACGTGTCAACATCATGATCGCTGACCAAGAATACTGCAAATACACTTACAAAGGCAGCCAAAACATTTATGATTCGCAAATTTGTGCTTACGACCCAAGCGTAGGGAAGGGACCATGCCACGTAAGTAGCATATAAAATTTATGATATCAGCTGATTATAACAGATAACTAAGTAGAAAAAAGAGTATTTCCTAGAAGAATTGCGTACGACATTAGCAACGCATGCTACCAGTTAATATCAGCTTTGATAACCGGACCGATAATTCGTCATTTTATTATTTTACTAGCGTACTAATAGCGATAACGTATTGACAGTTTGCCAGAATTAGTTTGTATTTTTTCATTTGTATTGTATTTAGAAAATGGTATTTTTTGGTTTGATAGGGTGACTCTGGTGGTCCATTGATTGTTAATGGAAGACTCACTGGTCTCGTATCTTGGTTAAGGGGTTGTGGCAATACTTACTCTCCCGCTGTCTTCACACGTGTGTCAGCTTATATTGAATGGATAAAATCGAATGCCGTGTAAATTCGACCATCGAAATAGAAATCGAACGTAACCAAAGGAAAAGCGAAGAACTCATTACGATATGTGATCATTGTGAATCATGAGCGAGGAGTGAAATATTTTCATAATTTGTATATTGATTCCGTCACTTACCTAATCATAATGTGTACTTTTGGAATATTGGAATAACATAAAAATCCGTAAAAATATATTAAAAGACATCTAAAGTTAAAATGTACTTTTTCAAATTTTTCTTTACTTTCTATGCATAATCGTGATTAAACTCTTGAAAGTCGTAATTTACGGATATGCATATAAAAGAGTAGGTCACTTTTAATCCTCACCAATCTAATTTCTTGCTCCCATCAACAAACGAACGTCGCTGCTCCTATTTGTGGGTTTGACAGAGACCAGTGGTAAGTAGAAGCCAATTTAATAACAATTGTTGTCGTTACTATCGAGTCGTGAATTCTACATTTGAACAAAAATGTGAAACGTCAATTACGTACCATCGCAATTAATTTCAGGCTTAAAATTGGGTAAATTAAATTTGAAAATGAACTTCTTGTATCCTCAACAATTATATTCTCGATATGTCTGTGTCAATCGGCCTGCCAATTAACCTTACGAACTTACAATCAATCACGAAATCGATCAACTACTCACTTTTTGTGTGTGTTTCCTTTTTTTGCCTATTTCTCTGTACTTGCAATCATGTTCGAAAATTCTCACCGAGTTGGCAGCAGCGTCGACGTCGACTGCATTTCGATTCCGCTTTTGTGTTTACCCAAGTAGCCGGAAATCCAATAGCATCATAATTCACATATTTGTAATGGATTCAGATTATTCACGTGAACGCGTTCGTGTCACACAAGAAACGAGTCAGCTCGCGCATCCCTCTGTCACGAATGCTATGAAATCCGATATAATTGTATTGATGTCATAAAATAAACGGGTTTGCTAATGAGGATTCGATAAATACGAAGAAATCGTATAATTAAAGGAAATGAAAACCGCATAGAAACTGAAAAAGTATTGAGAGCTTTAATGTTTAGTCAACTTTTGGTGTTGCAAAATTCAAGAGAAGTATTAATAGGAATATGGAAATCTTTATGCGAGATCCAGATTTTCGTTTCTTTATTATAAAAAAAAAAGAAAAAAAATACTGCAAACAGCGTTTACTCAGCAATGAATGTACCGATCGCGACGAAAACTCTCACATCTAATAGGACATATATCCGCACTGATTTCACTTGCAAAAATTTATGGAATTTGTTGTTAATAACAATTGCTATAGCAATAAATCTACTCCTTGGTGTTACTCTGCATGGAATGTATCGATCGCGATGAATGCTTCCACATGTAATAGGAGATATTTATTTGAAAATCACTTTGATAATTACAATTATCAAATTAAATTACAATCGAAATTAAAATTTGTGTAAAACACATTGCCAAATACGAAAGAAATAAGGAAGTCGAGAGTGTAAGCTTTACACATGATTTGAGATTATCATTCAACGTTCGAAATGTCATCAGGAAATAATTAGTGGCAACAATCTCGGTAAATCACAAAATGGACGTGTGGATGGAACACAGATCACGTATCTATCTAACCTTGAGACTCGAGAAAGTAACTTCTCCAGTTTTGAAAAACCGATCTGAGGACATATAAAATAGCCATCAGCGAGATTTCAGCACACTCTGCTTCGGCGAACTATTAACACGGAATCATGATCCTAATAACTGTGTCTCTTTTCACACTCTTATCCCTCTCCAACGGTAAGTGATTACAATTACTATTCAGTTTGACTGATTTCATTTTGATTCGACTAAAAAGTTTTGAAAAGTTAAATACGCAATACTCAATAAATGTTCACGACTGATATCACCTACTCGTGAGCTTAATCTATTAAATATTATAAAATTTAATATATACTAAAAAAGTACTGAATAAAATTTTCCTAAATAAACATTTACGCCCTAGTGTAATCATCAGTGTTAATATGATTATAAACAAGTTTCTACTTCGTGTAAAGCAAAAAATTGCCGGACTGTTAGCAGTTGCCAACTGCAATCTGTGCGATTAAATAGAAGTAACAAATAGTGCAGACGGTGTCAACTTACACTAATGAACAACGGCTCATCCGCAATTATTACTACGCTACTAAATATTCTGTTACGTTATTATTTACGCAGCTGGATTGCTGAGATTTGATTTTAGAATCGTGAACGGAGAGGATGCTAAAGAAGGAGAAATCCCCTACCAGGTTAGTTAAACAGCAATATGTACCGCTCTTTGCAAAAGAAAAAAAATGGATCTTCTTGAAAAAGAGTAATAAAAATTAATTATCTTGATGAACATTATGCCCGCGGGAATTATGAATCTTGAATGAACATAAGCGTTCAAATTAAATAATAACAATAGCAAAATTTAATGGAATGCAACATTGAATAAATAACCAACTACCTAACGCTAACCGGGTTAAAAATTTTATGCTTTACATCTACACACATTACTTATTGAATTTCTGGAAATTACTACAATATATCCGTATGTTGCTAGGTGTCCCTTCAAAATCAGGGCAGTTCGTTCCATTTCTGTGGTGGATCCGTTCTTAACGAAAACTATGTTATCACCGCCGCTCATTGCGTAGAGGGGTAAGGATTTTAAGAATCTACATAAAACTCGTTAGTGTTAACGTTCATAAAAAGGGAATAATAACAAAGAAACTGATATTTCTTAAAGCAAAACAGCGCCAAGTATCAAGGTAATTGCTGGTACGATAAATTTGACTGCTCCAAAGTCTGAACACAATGTTAAGAAAATCATTATTCACGAAAAGTATGACAAGGCTGATTCGTGGAAGAACGACATTGCTCTGCTCAAGGTATTCAGAATAAAAATATTTCATCACTTACATAACACTGACCTTTTGAAATTTTTACCAAAATAAATATTTCTATAGGTCGACAAATCATTTGTGAAGTCCCAACAAATTTCCTTTGTTCCACTTCCACCAAAGAACCAAGTTGTTAAAGCCAATGATAAGGGAGTAGTCTCTGGATGGGGCAGACTTTGGGTAACTATCATAATTATTTATTATACTAAATTTGTAAAAGTAGTAAAAGTTGCCGTAGTGTTCAAGTAATAAACTACATGAATGGCAAAATAAAATTTATATTGCAAATTTTCTCAACTGGTCGAGAAAATGTACGTACGAAAATATTTGCTAGCAAATTAAAATTTGTATTCAAACTGAACGGCACTTTTCTAAAATCTGACAATGACAGCAAGGTGGTCCCACAACCGTTCACCTACAACGTGTCAACATCATGATCGCTGACCAAGGATACTGCAAATACACTTACAAAGGCATCAAAAACATTTATGATTCGCAAATTTGTGCTTACGACCCAAGCGTAGGGAAGGGACCATGCCACGTAAGTAGCATATAAAATTTATGATATCAGCTGATTATTACAGATAACTAAGTAGAAAACAGAGTATTTCCTAGAAGAATTGCGTACGACATTAGCATAGCGTGCTACCAGTTTATATCAGCTTTGATAAGCGGACCGATAATTCGTCATTTTATTATTTTACTAGCGTACTAATAGCGATAACGTATTGACAGTTTGCCAGAATTAGTTTGTATTTTTTCATTTGTATTGTATTTAGAAAATGGTATTTTTTGGTTTGATAGGGTGACTCTGGTGGTCCATTGATTGTTAATGGAAGACTCACTGGTGTCGTATCTTGGTTATGGGGTTGTGGCAATACTTACGCTCCCGCTGTCTTCACACGTGTGTCAGCTTATATCAAATGGATAAAATGGAATGCCGTCTAAATTCGACCATCGAAATAGAAATCGAACGTAACAAAAGGAAATGCGAAGAACTCATTACGATCAGTCATCATTATGAGGAAGTCATGAGCGTGGAGTGAAATATTTTCATAATTTGTATATTGATTCCGTCACTTACCTAATGTGTACTTTTGGAATAGTGGAGTAACATAAAAATTCATAAAAATATATTAAAAGACATCTAAAGTTAAAATGTACTTTTTCAAATTTTTCTTTACTTTCTATGCTTAATCGTGATTAAACTCTTGAAAGTCGTAATTTACGGATATGCATATAAAAGAGTAGGTCACTTTTAATCCTCACCAGTCTAATTTCTTGCTCCCATCAACAAACGAACGTCGCTGCTCCTATTTGTGGGTTTGACAGAGACCAGTGGTAAGTAGAAGCCAATTTAATAACAATTGTTGTAGTTACTATCGAGTCGTGAATTCTATATTTCAACAAAAATGAGGACGTACTATCGCAATTAATTCCAGATTTAAAATTAGGTAATTAAATTTGAAGATGAGCTACTTGTATCTTCAACAATTATATTCCCGATATGTCTGCGTCTATCGGCCTGTCAATTAACCTTACGAATTTACAATCAATCACGAAATCGATCAACTACTAATATTTTCTGTGTGTTTCCTTTTTTTACCTATTTCTCTGGACCTGCAATCATGTTCGAAAAATCTCACTTCGATTCCGCTTTTGTGTTTACGCGAGTAGCCGGAAATCCAATAGCATCATAATTCACATATTTGTAATGTATTCAGACTATTCGCGTGAACGCGTTCCTGTCATGCAAGAAACGAGGCAGCTCGCGCATCCCTCTGTCACGAATGCTATGAAATCCGATATAATTGTATTGATGTCATAAAACAAACGGGCTTACTAGTGAGGATTCGATAAACATGAAGAAAACTGTACAGTTAAAGCTAATTAAAACTAGGAACCGGATAGAAACTGAAGCATTACTGAGAATCTTAATATTTTATCAACTTTTAGTGTTGCAAAATTGAAGAGAAATATTAATAGGCATTTTGCAATCTTTATGCGTTTTAATGAGAAATCCAGATTTTCGTTGCTTCATTACAAAAAAAAGAAAAAAAATACTGTAAACAGCGTGTACTCTGCAAGGAATGTACCGATCGCGACGAAAGCTTTCACATCTAACTGGACATATATCCGTAATGATCTCATTTGCAAAAATTTATGGAATTTGTTGTTGATAACTGTTGTCATAGCAAAAAACCTATTCCTTGGTATCACTCTGCAGGAAATGTATCGATCGCGATGAAACCTATCATGTTTAGTAGGAGATATTTCTGCGATGAACCCACTAGCAAAAATTGTTTACTAACCATGTAAATTCGACCAATATTTTTCTTTTTTGGTTTATGATTATTAGTTAACCAATGAAAATGCAAAACCAGCTTACGGTATCCTACAAGTACTGCTCGTTCCACTATAGAGTGTGAAATAAAATAATTTTTAACAACAAATACAACCGACTTCAAAAACGCTCTAAAAAATGTAAAGTAATTTATGTTTTAATTACACATATGCGTGACAACTATATTTATACAACTACGCGACAATTATTATTATAACCTCTTGCTGCATTGACAAAATGCGCTAAAAAGTATAAAAGACTTTTCTTGTAATGGAACAATCCTAGTTCAGGTATCGGCAGCCTATGACTAATGACCCATTTGATAATATCAAGTAAACAATATTCAACGGGAATCAACATACCCATTGCGGATTAACTATATGTGCATAAATGTTGCCAACTTCTAATACAATCGTTACAATTACAAATGTTCTCAGCTGTATCTATAACGTTCCGTATTTTCTTACGACTTGTTAATTACCAAGTTCGCCTTACCGCAATCAAATCGTTATTGCAAGCAGTGTTTATTTGGGTATTTTTAATCAATACGATTAATCTTTTTCATTTATCTGAATCATTTATCGATCTCAATTACTAATTCAATCAGTCTTCGTTTATCATATCCAACATTCAGGGGAAAAACCGAAACAGTACTTCCTATACCCACTTGATATGACGATGAACCCTTGAACGAAGGTTTCGACATCGTTTAATAGAATCAATTGCGAATCCAAATACAGATATTCATAATATTTATTTTTGAACGATTCATTTATGGATCGATCAAGTGATAACTTTGAAATCGATTAAGCCAATGAAAAATCCACTTTCAAAATTACAATTGGCTAATTAAATTGCAATCAAAATTAAAATTTGTGTAAAATACATATTAATTTTAGGATAGTTTATTAAAATTAAAAATATTTCATCATTTAACTTTTTCTTTGACCGTTATCGTTCTAAGAACCCAAATTTTCAATGAAGATGAAGATGCAACTCAAATTAGCTTGCAAGTCACTACAAGTTAATTTCACTCGTTGGAAATATCAGATAATTAAGCGGAAACGTTTATTGCAAACATTGCGAAATACGAAGGAAACAAAGCAGTCGAGAGTGTAAGCTTTACACATGATCTGAGATTATCAATCAACGTTTGAAACGATATCGGAAAATAATTAATCGCGACAATCTGTATCAATCACGAAATCGACGTGTTGATACAACACAGATCACATATTTATCTAATCTTGTGACTCGGGAAAGAAACTTCTCCAGTTTTGAAAGACCGTGCTAGGGATATATAAAATAGCCATCAGCGAGATTTCAGTACACTCTTCTTCAGCGAACGATTTACACGGCACCATGCTCCTAACAACTTTGTCTGTTTTGTCACTTTTATCCCTCTCCAACGGTAAGTGATCACAAGTATTATTCATTTTGATTGATTCGATTTTGATTTGATTAAAAAATTTTGAAAAGTTTAATACGCAATAATCAATAAATATTCGTGATTGATATCACCTAATCGTGAGCTTAATCTATTAAATATTATGAAATTTTATATATATAACAAAAGAGTACTAACTAAAATTTTCCTTAATAAACATTTATAACCTAGTATAATCACCAGTGTTAATGTGATTATAAACAATTTTCCGCTTTGTGTAAAGCAAAGAATTGCTGGACTGTTAGCGACTACTAACTGCAATCTGTGCGATCAAATAGAACTAACAAGTAGTGCAATCGGTGTCAGCATACACTAATGAACAACGGCTCATCCGCAATTATTACACTACTAATTATTCTGTTCTGTTACTATTTACGCAGCGGGGTTGCTGAGGTTTGATCCTAGAATCGTGAATGGAGAAGATGCTAAAGTAGGAGAAATCCCCTACCAGGTTAGTTAAACAACAATATGTAAAGCTTTTTTAAAAAGAGAAATAATCATTCATTAACATCATCAGCATTATATCCGGAAAAATTTTTAATCTTATATCAAGCTGAGTTCAAATTAAATAATTTTAATAACAAAATTTAATTGAATGCAACATTGAATAAATAACCAAGTCGTAACTACCTAACGCTAACCGGGTTAAGAAGAATGTTATGCTTCACATCTACACGCATTACTTATTGAATTTCCTAAAATTACTACAATATATCCGTATGTTGCTAGGTGTCCCTGCAAAATCAAGGCAGTTCGTTCCATTTCTGTGGTGGATCCGTTCTTAACGAAAACTATGTTATCACCGCCGCTCATTGCGTAGAGGGGTAAGGATTTTAATAATCTACATAAAACTCGTTAGTGTTAACGTTCATAAAAAGGGAGTAATAACGAAGAAATTGATATTTCTTACAGCAAAACAGCAGCAGGTATCAAGGTAATTGCTGGTACGATAAATTTGACTGCTCCAAGGTCTGAACACAATGTTAAGAAAATCATCATTCACGAACAGTATAACCCAAATGATTCATGGAAGAACGACATTGCTCTGCTCAAGGTATTTAGAATAAAAATATGTCTACACTTATACACATATCACTGACTCTCTGAAATTTTTATCTAAATAAATATTTCTATAGGTTGAGAAACCATTTGTGAAGTCGGCACAAATTGCCTTTGTCCCTCTTCCACAAAAAAACCAAGGTGTTAAAGCCAATGATAACGCTGTAGTCTCTGGATGGGGCAGACTTTGGGTAAGTAGCATAATTATTTATTATAATAAATTTGTAAAAGTAGTAAATGTTGCCATAGTATTCAAGTAATAAACAATATGAACGATAAAAAAATTTATATTAAAAATTTGCTCAATTAGTCGAAAAAATATACGTAAGAAAAAATTTGCTGCAAAATAAAAATTTTTATTCGAACTGAACGACACTTTTCTAAAATCTGACAATTACAGAAAGGTGGTCCCACAACCGTTCACCTACAACGTGTCAACATCTTGATCGCTGACCAAGAGTACTGCAAATATACTTACAAAAATATCGCCAACATTTATAATTCGCATGTTTGTGCTTACGACCCAAGCGTTGCGAAGGGATCATGCAACGTAAGTACCATACAAGATTTAAGATATCAGCTAATTATTACAGATAACAAAGAACAAAAAAGAGTATTTCTTAGAAGAATTGCGTATGATATTAGCAAAGCATGCTACTAGTTTATATCAGCTTTGATAAGCGAACCGATAATTCATCATTTAATTATTTTACTAGAGTTTCTTGCAAACGTTACCAAATACGAAGGAGATAAAGCAGTCGAGATTGTTGATCAATAATAGCGATAACGCATTGACAGTTTGCCAGAGTGATTATGTATTTTTTCATTTGAATTGTATTTAAAAAATTGTGTTTTTTGATTTGATAGGGTGACTCCGGTGGTCCATTGACTGTCAATGGAGTACTCACTGGTCTCGTATCTTGGGCAATGGGTTGTGCCCGTACTGACTATCCCACTGTCTACACACGTGTGTCAGCTCATCTTGACTGGATAAAATCGCATGCCGTTTAAATTCGACCATCGAGATAGAAATCGAACGTAACAAAAGGAAATGCGAAGAACTCATTACGATCAGTCATCATTATGACAAACTCATGAGCGTGGAATGAAATATTTTCATAATTTGTATATTTAATCCGATCTATCTAAAGTATTATCCTTTTTACTGTATCAAAAATAACAATACATCACTTATCTAATCATAATGTACACTTTTGGAATATTGGAATAACATAAAAATCCATCAAAATATATTAAAGAACATTTAAAATTAAAATGTACTTTTTCAAATGTTTCTTTACTTTCTATG